CCCCCCCCCCCCCCCCCCCCCCCGCCGATGCTCGCTCTTCCTGGACAGACCAACCGAGGCCTTCGTATCTCAACTCCTCTTGCTCCTCTCTCTACGACATCCTCGGCATCCCCGCCGCCGCCTCCAACCAGGAAATCAAGGCGGCGTACCGGCGCTTGGCCAGAGCCTGCCACCCGGACGTGGCGGCGATCGACCGGAAAAACTCCTCGGCCGACGAGTTCATGAAGATCCACGCCGCCTACTCCACCCTCTCCGATCCCGACAAGCGCGCAAATTACGACCGGAGCCTCTTCCGGCGACAACGGCCGTTGTCGAAGGCGGCGGCGTTTTCCGGTTACACGAGTCGGAACTGGGAAACGGATCAGTGCTGGTAGAGTGGTAGTGAGTCGACTCGTCCGAGTGAAGACGCGGTTATTGAAGCGCCTTTCCTTGCATATAATTTATTACTCACTAATTAGTTAGTCTGCGGAGTTTGTATTATACTACGTATATGTACATATACGCGTAGAGTAAACGAGACTGCCACGTGTACTTAGTACTTGCCACTTGCACTAATTTCTCTCCCACTATCCCACGCTTGTAATATAAACTTTTTTGAACGAAAAAAAAAGGAAAGAAAATTGACATTGATATATGCAATTGCCCAATATGAACTTTGCTTCAACTAATCAAAAGTACATTTAAGGTTTATTAATAATTAATTATGGATGAGTTCTAGAAATTGAGAAAAGCAGGAACATGATTGAATTAAGAAAAGTCCATCGTTGTGTGATTGAGATTTGTGATGTTGATTGGGTTAGGGGCGAGTTAACCTAAAGCGCAAACAAAGTTAATTGGCTTTTCCTGAAATCAATTAATTCTGGTGTAGTGCACTGTGCACCCTACAAATTTGGAAACTTTGTTTATAAAAGTCAACCCCATTTGGCGTGTTGATGAATCACGAGTCGGTGACCATAACGATATGCTAGAAGCTCAGGGTTTCTAGAAGCCCAGGGTTCCGTGCCGTTTGAGCGATTCTACTGTTGGTAGATTAATTAATCATTATTTATTTATTTATTTATTGTGATTCCTCTGAATCTATTTTTCATTTTTGAATGATCCAAGTTCCAACGTAGAGGCACATGTGAAGGACAATCCAAGAAAAGCATGCCACGTGTCTCGATTGAAATTGGAAATATTTGGCCAGTAAACCAAAATTTCTTTATTGTTCAATAATGTTTTAAAATACATCTAGAATTTAATATTAGTGTCCGTCGAACATATTCGCGACAAATGTGTTGCGTAATGTTAAATTTTATGACATACTGATACTATATTCCAATAAATACAGTGGTTCTCAAAGATTTATTTAAACTTTGTCATTATTCATTTTCTAATAGTCATCTACTCCGTAATAAATTATTCTCGCTGCATGAGTTAAGACACTGGCCGTGGCAGTGGCATTAATTTTTTTTTTTTTTCATTTTAAAAAAATTGTTCATTGGCTTGCGTAAAAAATATTACAAAAAGAAAAGAAAAAGAAAATGCAAGAAATCATAAACTTAATGTGAGATTTACTGGCTGCATTTGAAAATTAATTTGTTCTGAATGTTTCTAACTCTAGGATATATGATTTTTATTAAATTAATTTTCATGAAAATATTTTTAATGTTTAAAATGATTTAAAAAAACCTTGTTTTTTTATTCTTGGTATGTGATATAAAAGCACATTAATTTCCATTTAATTTTCAAAAAAGAAAAGAAAAAAATTGTATCTCCATACCAGCAACATTTGTGTGGACATGCATATCTCATTGCCCATCAAATTAACAAATGAAAATATAAAATAGATTTAAGTTTATCGAAAGAAACTTTTAGAAATCTCACATTAATTAGTGAATAAATATAATAATGTATATAAGTAAAAAATAATTTTTATTTTACAAGTTAATTTTGTATAATTATGATAAATTTATTAAACTCATATTTTAAGATGATATCAATTTTATTTTAAATCTATAAAATAAAAAAGGTATTTATAATATATATGTACTATGCTTAATAGTGTCGTGTATAAGGGAATATATTTAGAAGAAGAAAAAAAATTTAAGTCATGTCTATCTTAAATCATTTAAAAAAATGTTATACTTTTTATCTACACACCAAGTTCAACGGTTTTGGGTGTGAGAAATTGTTTTGAAAAATACTTAAGTCATGCAATGACTAGACATAAGACCAACATAGAATGTATAAGTGGAGATAACCCTCATTTTACAAACTAATTTTGTTGAGTTAAATTAGGTCCAAAACTCACATACTAATATGACATTAAAGTTTATCCTATCAAGTGTTGTTGGATTTATTGATTCATTCGTTGTCAATCTGTTGTTGAACCACTTATAGATATCCAAACCAACAAACTATACACCAACAAAAGGAAAAAAGAAAAAATAGAAGAAGAATAATCATAGTAGAGATTCTAAATTCATTTTTTTTAAATGAAATAAAAAAATAGCGGTTGTGTAAAACAAATAGAAAACATAATTAATCATGAGTTTTTTGAGTTATGTTATTAGTATGAAGTATTTACCAATCTTATCAGTGATTAGTTTCTATTCATTCGTGTGCATGACATTTTTAATGATGGATAAAAAAAATTTATGTCAATTTTAGACATGTCATAAATCTTAGTGAGATAAAAAGTCTTGACTTTCTATGTTAGATATAAAAGTTAATTGATATAAAAAATTTTGTTTTTTAGGTTAACAAATGTTTTTTTATTATGCTCTTTCCTTTTTATTGCATCTTTACATATTTCGTTGTCATAACACTTTTTTCCTCATTGCATCTCTTTGCGTTTTGTTGTCACATTCTTTCTTTCTTGTTGCATCTCTTCATGTTTCATCATTGCACTCTTTTTCTCTTGTCGCATCTCTTCGTGTTTTGTTGCTATGCTCTCTCTCCTGTTATATCTCTTCGCATTTTTTGTCGCTCTCTTTCTCTCTTATTCTCGCATCTTCTTTTACGACCATCGCATTTTGTGTTTTGACACTACCATGTTTACTTCCAAACCTCCACATTGTCAATATTTAAACAATAAAAATAAAACACACACAAAAAAAGTAAAAGAAAAATAATTTATCTAAATCTCGATGTGCAAGAAAGAGGACGATATAAAAAGTTTTATCATGTTTATAACTTTATCATCATGTCATTTTCTATGTCGTGTGGTTTATAGTCGATATAAAATCTTCATCATAAGATGTTCTTTTTACACTAGTGATTGACAGCCTTATTTAATCATCTCTTCCATCCATCTTACGTAGACCGAGTCTAGTTTTACTAAAAGCTAATAACTTATTATTTTGGTTTTAAATTTAAGTAAAAAAATATTCATATTAATTAAGAAAATTAGTTTACATCATTTAATTTAATTGTATTAATCTCATATAAAAAATACCTTATTTTCCTAAATTATCTTTTTTTGGAACTTAATATCATAAATAAAAAGGAACATTAAAAATATAATCTTAATTGAATAAAAATATTTTGAAGTTGATAACATTAAATATAACATAATTATTTGTGATTTTCTTATATTTAAAATAAACAAACATTTTTTTTACTTATATTTAGAACCGGAAGGAGTATTAGTTAATAAATAATTTAATTTTAAAACAAATGAATCATAAAATATATTCTTATAGCGTGATTTCGAATTGTTCACATAGCTCATTAATAATTAGTTAAATAAAAAAATTAAAATAAATAAATAAAAACAAAAATAAATAAATTAAAAATAAAAAATATTTTTATTAACTACATATATTCAACGTTTTAGAGAAAATGTGTAAAGAAAAATTATAAAATGAATAAAAATCAGTACAGTAACAGTAGGAAAAAAAAATGAATCACATGTATAACTGTACAAGTGATGAAACGACGTGGAAAGGGAAAGGGCATTGTTTTCCTCCGCGTGGAGGTGACTTTTCAGCGGCTTTGAAAATGAGTAATTAACTTTATTACTGTTCTCCTATCCTATCCTTCTAGAAACAAGATATCTATGAAACTAACTCATCGTCACGTGTCTGTGGCCCTCACCTCAATGGCCCAAACCATTATTTTTTCCAAAAATATTGTTTAGACAAATACTGAGAGAAGGAAAAATATTGAACATTTAAATATCTTTATTCTTATTTATCACCGTAATTGACTAGACACTATCTTTCAAAGTCCGATAAAATGTTCGATTAGACACGATCAGAGATGTGAGAGAAGATAACCTTCTAGATATTTGGAGGCTGCTGCTAAGCTATATAGGTACCATATAAAAGGACCATTACAGAACGCCAAAATTTATACATAAATAACAATCTGCAATTTTAATTACCTTTAATATAGGATTTTTTTTAACTTTGAAGTTTATTATTTATTTTCAAATTAACACATATTAAATTTATAGAAAGGCAAGTTGGCTTTGATTATAGTTTACTAACATTGAAAAAATTTGTTTTATTTCATATTCTTATTTTGCTTTTTACAGATATTTATTGATAAATTTATTCTAACGTATCTCTAATTTATTGATTATAGTTTACTAACATTGTTCCAGTTATTTACTTCTGATACATAAAATCAACTTTCATTATATTTCTTTTATCAAGTGACTATTTATTGTATTTCTTTCTTTTATTATAAAACCCCACTAGTCTTGGTGAAATTAAATTCTTTTAAGATGACATATATTATAATTTTATTGAAAAATAGAAAAATAGGAAAAATGAATGTCATCTATGAGAAGCTTCTGAGGTAGCTATTGGCTTAAATTTTAATTTTTTTATGGGTAATTTTAGTTCTAGAAGGAAGTATAGAATTTAAAAGGAAGAAGCAACCTTGGTGGTTTAGCTGCAGTGCGCATTGATTTGGCAGATCAAACTTCTATAACCTTCCATTCCATAGCAGGGAGAACAATTTCTTAACTTTTGGCGTTAACTAGGATGCCTAATTCGCTTTGATGTGTTTCTACTCTCTAGAACATAACAAACATTTGACTGTTAGTGTTTGATGACACGACCATAATTCTTCCCTTCCTCTCTTTTCTTTCTTTCTTTCTTTAAATTTCAAAGTTCAAACCTCGTGCTAGTGTGCAACACTACAAACCAGAGACTATAATATATGTATAAATGTGTGGGACAATTAATATTGATGTGTACCTAATATTATTTTTAATATACTTAATTTATATACCAAATTAAAAACAATTTAAAACCTAACATATAGATGAGAAACGTGTGACTAATAATTTACTTTATATAGCAATTAATACAAAATGAAATAATTATAAAAATATGAATAATTGAAAGAAATTATAATAATTTATTATTTTTTTATTTACCAGATTTATAAAATATTTGTTATAAATAAAATCTCTATAAAATGAAATAACAGAAGAAAAAAAATCTTGCAGTATTTGAAATAAGTAAAAGAAGAGACAAGTTGCTGGTTCCTATTGCGTTTGAAGATTAAAAATGTTCCAATACTCGAAAGAAGTAGAAGACTCTAGGGAAGAAAAGTAACTAAAGAAAGAAAACGATGCAAGATGTGTAACTTTTTTCTTGCGGGTCTTATCATTTTAATTGATAGAAATTATTTTAATATGCATGTTAAC